CCTTATTATTTTTAACAGTAATTGATCTCACAATTTTCATTTTTTAGGATAAAGTTTCTTAAGTCAGGAACATTATAATTAACACTACTTAAGTCCTCACTTTAACAAATCTGATCAACCGCTGTCACCACATTGTCATTTCTCCTTTTTTGTGACTTTCACCTGTGTAACCTGTTCCCAATCTTTTAAAATTTGAATCAATTATGCAAATGTTTTTCAAATAGTATTTAGAATGACATTTTCATTGACAGGGACCATTATACTAATGTTAGTATATAGGTCCATGACTGTTAGTCCATACAATTTTTTTGATTATCTATGATATATGTTTTATCCCTTTTCAGTATGTTTCAAAAACTGATTCTTTTTACTTTCATTAATTAGTTGTCAGATAATGATTATTGGTATGTCTTTCCTAATTTTCATAGTGGCATATAAAAATGCCACTGTGGCATTATTTACAGAAACAACTTTTAGCAGCTTTAAAAGTATAGTTTTAGTGCAATTGACATTTTCAGGTGTGAAACATAGCTGAAACATGTACAATAAATCCCTTCGACTCTGCAGGTATTATGCCACGCCCACCCTTTCTCACTCGGAATAATACTTACCAAATGTAATACTGTGTCAACAACATCTTTATTTGGAACTTGGTCCACCTTCAACAAACTGATCAACAGGCCGAATTTGAGCTCGTCATTCCCTGTTGATTTCAGAATGTCATCTGTTGACCCTGTGGACGTGCCATTTTTCTCCTCAGCGGTCGCACTCAGCGACATAATTGCACTTTATCCAATGCAGGGACCTCTCTCTATGATTATTTTTCCGTGCTCAATTAAAATAACTTAACTGTCATGTACCACTCAAATGTGAAACCTATGTTGGTGCGTCAGATCCTCCACTTTCGGCAGGATGCCGGAACAACTTCCTACTAACGGATGCGGACCAAAAGTTTTTGTTCGGATATTTTTGGATTTTTCTTATAACCTTTCCGATGAAATTTTTTATGCGCCTGGGGCCTGTTTTACAAAAGGACTTACGACTTAAGACCAAATTTAATTCTTCATATAACTTTTTAATTAACATTATTTCGAAAATTATTTAAAAATTTTTGAAAGGAATGTGGTAGATATTTTTATACAAACAATTTCTCAGAGAATTATTAATTTTGCAAAATTTTACAATCATCTGAAGTATTTGGTCTTAGTCGTAAGTTCTTTTGTAAAACGGGCCCCTGATCGATGGATCTGAGGCTTATATTTTTTGTCCTGTCTGTCTGTTTGTCTGCAAACTTTAACCTTCGTCATAACTTTTCAACCATGTCAGAAAGATAGAGACTTAATATTTGGTACGCATACTTCACTACTTGAACTCTTTCAAATGATACCTAGATCATTGACCTTGTGACCTTGACTGTAACCTATATGCTAAAAATAGCGTCTTTGTCTGCAAACTTTGACGTTCGCCATAACTTTGAACCTTAAAAAGATAGAGACTTCATATTTGGTATGCATACTCCACTAATTAAGCTTTTTCAAATGACACCAAGATTAATGACCTTGTGACCTTCACTGTGACCTATATGCTAAAATAGTTTTTTTTCAAACTTTGTTGCCACCAGGCGCATAGTATTATACAAACACATCTTGTCATAATCTGCAATAGATCTGTGTTGCTGTCTCACAGATCTCATATCATATAATCATATGATATCATATCATATAATCATATATCATATCATATCATATGCTATGATATGGTGTTACATCAATATCACATCATATTAATGTCATATCATTTTTAATGTCATATCATATCATATCACAGTTCCCTTTCCGCATTCTATATTTAGAGGTCGCGTCATCAAGTTTTCTTACTTGGTCATTGGTCAATTGCAACTTACTTTATTAAAACATTTTGATTGTACACACAAGTATTCTGAAGTTGACATCAAAAACATGATTAAGTTTCCGATTGACAATATAAATACCGGGTATTGTTTTGGGGGACCAGGTCTTCCAACAGTCTATTCGAATTTCCATGGGTACCAATTGTGCCCCATTATTAGCAGATCTAATTTTCTATTCATAAGAAGCAGAATTTGTGCAAATTCTTATACCTCAAAGAAGAAAACACTTTCTGTGGCCTTCAACTCGACATTTGGATAAGTCGACGACGTATTGTCAATAAACAATGGTAATTTCCTATCGATACGATATACCCCGGTATCCTGGTGAGCTCGAGATGATAAACGTGATAACTTTAACTTTTCTATCGTCAACTTCCCTTACGTATGAAGCAATTTACATTCATTGCCCACATAAGGAGTTTATATATCTCAGTTGAATCGATACAATTTCTAAACGAGGTAAATTATTGACCAAAAAGTTGATGAAATAAGAATATTAGCAGTCGCGTTTAAAGTCATCATTTCGATCGTAAGTTGCAATAAACAAAAAAAAAAAAAATACTCCAAGATACATTATTTATACATTGGGTTATTTTTTGGTGGAGCGATTATTTTGGGGTTTTGGCGATTTTTTCCTACTGAACACATGATGAATAAGTGTAATATATATAAATTGCGAAAAAAGTCAAATAAGCCCCGGGGTTGAATATCGGGGGAGGGGGGGGGGGGGTCCTGTCCACAAGTACCTGTAGTCCGCAAATACAATTTATCATAGAGTCAAATGCTGACTGACGTTTTTCATACTTATTGTTAGCCCATTTGACGACGGATTTTTCCGTTATTTCCCGATCATTTGACAAGGAGCACGCGGCAGGTGTGACCGGTCGATAGGGGATGCTCACTCCTCCATGACACCTGATCCCACCTCTGATGTTTTGGAGGTGCGTGTTTTTTCTGCTCCTATTTTGTTTTGTTTTATGGACTTTTGATCTCGAATACTGTTCGTTGTCTCCATATGTTTCATCATATCATATCATGTGAAGAAAACGAAAAGTATTCAAACTCAAAGATCGATTAAAGAATACAAATCAGGAGCAATGCAAACACGTACGGATCTCTAAAACATCATATGTGGGATCATGTACCATGGAGGAGTAAGCTTCCCCTGCTGACCAGTCACATCCGCCGTGTGCTCATTGTCTTGATCGGAAAATAATGGGGGAAAAATCAACAATTCAGTGTGTAAATTATGGCCTAACAATCGGTATGAAAAAAGGTCAGTCAGCATTTGACTTAGCTGCAGAATTGTAGTTCTCTGCTTGAGAAAATTCGGACATATATGTAGCTCTGCTTTCTCTGTCCGGATTTTTTCAAGCAGAGAGCTACAGTTCTGCAGCTACATTTGACTTAATGATAGACTGTATTTGCTGACAAGGTCATTGTATCGACAACAGAGCTCTCGAAATGGTGACTTTGAACGAGACTGTTGATATTCTAGCGACATAAGTAAAGGAAGTTGACGATTAAAAAGAAAAAGTCATCACGTTTATCATAAAGCTTTGTTGTAAATTAATATCAATGTCTTTTTAGTCAAATATCCATTTTTTTTCTTCCATTGAGAATGTTTGGCAATCCCTCTGAAGTGAACTGAAAAGATTTTCTACCTTCATGGAATTCCAGACAAAAGTGAAATGAAAATAATTAACCCTGAAAACTGGACAAGATTAAAGTACCCCCTTCCTTTCTCTTCTTAGCTCTATTCCATGCATTCATTGCGAACACCTCCTAAAAGATTGTTCATTTTTCCCACTGAAACGAATAAAACCCACCACCTTCAATGTTTAAGGTAATTCCACCCTCCTATGATGTCATAGGTTTTGCTAAAACTGTAATTAGTTTAAATTCATATCTAACAGAACAATATCTTTTGGAAGAATGATTTACAATAGGTGAAATGATAACTATTGTTAAGTAAAAGAATTTTTAAAATGCATATTTTCTTTATTTGATCAATTAATGTTTACAAGGGCAATAACTCCTTCTAAGGTCTCTTCAATCAGGCATTTACTTTATTGTACTTCTAATGTAAAATAGTTACCCTGGTATTCACAATTCAAAAGAATCTTATAAGTAGGAAGTATTTAGGAGCATTCAGCATCAGAATTATGCATTTTAACCAGTTTTTACATATTTTTCATAATACTGTTTACAAAAAACGTGCGATTTTTTATGTTGACATACACTTCCGTTTATTTATGTTTAGCATTTTAAATAATATGGTGACCTATACATTTTTCCAGTGATTGGCACATTAAAAGTATATTAAATAAAAAAATGCAGTTTTTGTACTTTGAACCATTAAAATTGTGAGGGTGGAAACACCTTAAATAGAAAAAGAAAGAAAAGCAAGATTTACAAACATCCTTGTCGTTATATTTACTTTATCAATTTCAGACTTATGAAAAACTAAAAAAAAACATTTACACATTTGAGTGAAAAGTGTTTAGATCATATCCTCATAATATTTTCAACTAAATGTACATGTACATTTCCTACATTGAGTTAAAAGCCAGCTACCATTTATTTGTCCCAAAAATGTACATTCTCTTATATGATTTTTTTTTTTAACAATAAGCAAAATCCCAAATGAAAATGATTCAAACGGGTTCTAAGTTGTTTTTTTTTTAACTACGCTACCGGCTTTTAAAATTCCTTTCTATCGTATGATATTTCTATTTTATTTTTTTTTTATTTTGGTTCATTTTATTTATTTTACTTTATTTTTGTTTATTTATTATGTGTTTTAATTAATTAATTAGTTAAATTAATTTGATGTGTGTAAAATATTTCCCCCTTTTTCTCAAAAGAGATAGGAAAAGATAACTCTGATACGCCTTAGTATTTTCCGTTTTTATCAGAATTTCTTGAAATTTAAATTCCATAAAAACAAAATTATTCGCGAAAAATATTAGTCTGAAATGTTTTTATGGTTGTTTTTTTTTAATTTTTGATTCTATACTTTAAATGACTTCTTTATTTTATTATTTTTTTTACATTAAAAATATTTTCAATAAATAACTAAATAATCCAAGTTTAACTTCCGGTTGTTTAAAGGGAAGAACGGAATCCCAAGAATCTGTCAAGTTTGCTAATAAAAATGTCAACTCCTGACGTTCAGAGGGTAGGTACATCGCTTATCATGTTCTTATTAGCATAAACATTGAGAAAAAAGTATGTTTCTAAGTTTGTATCTATCGCTTTCATTTGAATCGAAACCTATTGTTTATAAACACCGGGTTCCAAATTTACACACAAAGGCGGAAACACCCATTTTTGGGGCAGTTATGTCTACATCGATTTGAAGCCTTGCAGGAAATGCTAATTCAGAATTTTTTTATAACCATAGGCCTTAATGTATCAGGATACATCTGAATTACATCTGTAATATTAGATTCTGAATGAGAAAAAAGGGATTAAAATTTTTAGGATGGTTGATATTTTTAAAAAGATCAGTAACCCCCTATGAATATATTCAAGCTAAAATACATCAATTACATAAAATTCAATTAATCTACTAAGATTAAATTGTTTACCATTTTAGTTAATATCGCGGGATTCGTTGAGACTAAAAATCTTGGACTGAATTCTCTTCTGAATCTCAGACCAGTGCCACACAAAATGATTCTGGAAATCTTTCTTGGACTTCAACCATTTGTTATGAATTAATTAGGTTGAAATGAATTCCTTGCCCACGTCAACGTTTTACTTTGGACATCCTATATGAAATATGTTTGAATCAGACAGTGAGACTGTTGCTAGAAGCCTTTGGTTTCGGATGTCTATAAATGCAATGAGTTAAAGTGGGCAGGGAATTCATTTCAACCTAGTTGGATCATAGCAAGCGGTCGAGCTTTGGATAAGATTCTCAGAAGCACTTTGTGTAGCACTGCTTTCAGAAGAGACTTCAGTTCAAATTTTTAGTCCTGATGAATCTTGCTGAAATTACATTTGATGGTATTTCAATTGTCGGAAACAAAGAGCACATGTACAGTTAGTATTGACAAAAATGTTAACAACTTTTCTCGGTTTCTATCATCTAGAATCAGGAGTTTAACAATATTACATCTATTTTGAAAGAATTTCAACGAAAATTGTTGCAATTAAATTAAGTGAAATGATAATAATTTTTCTCTGATAAATGTTTTATAACAGTCTTTTTAACATTATTATAGTTAGAATGATCTAACTGTGTCTCGGTACAAGCCCTCACCACAGTTAGAATACGTCCCATATACTTGCAATGTAGCAAATCGGAGCGGATCCGCTCCGAAACGATTTTGAAGAATATAAAAGGATTTGCACTGGAAATAACTACCAAGTTAATCAAAACAAACCTTTTTGAGATTGCTTATGCCTTTTATCTCAGAAAATAATCCATCTAAAGACGAAAATCCAATTAATTTTCTCAACGTTTTTCTCTCGCTTCAAATTTACCTGCCATGTTTACATTCAGAACTCTCTAGATTGTTCGTAGTAAATGCACTGAGTTATAGTGAGTACGAGTTACCGCCCATGTTTCTTTTGCTACATTACGAATACACGGATCGAATTCTATCGTTAAACCGGGTCCGTAGGACAATATCATTTTAACGATAGAACGTTCTATCTAACATTATTACAACTCCAGAAATTCTGATTTTTATTTTTGTTATTTATTTTTTCTTTACTGATATGCTGACAGTGTGATAATCATGTTAATTTTTCTCAATCTGACCCCTTCCTTCCATTTCTAATTGTTGTCAATAGAGCTGGAGAGAAAACTTGCTTACATGATGAAGCGGACATGTAGACACATAAGAAATTTAAACTAAAACACATACTTTATATTGGAAGCCAGTAAAGTGTTTAAATTATATGAAAAAAATATATAGCAAGCACTGATAGTTATGTTATATGTTTCTTGTAAAGAAAGAACAATCGTCTGATGGAGACACATCATTAGATCAGTCAGCTGATCTGTCATGTGATCAGTCACAAGAAAATCTCGACCTGTCACTTAACCAGTCGGAAATTATTGCGGAAAAGGTATTCGTACATAAAGTCTCGCCATCCTCGCTATGTCTGTTTCTGTATCCTAAAATAATGCTCCTTTAATTCTTTGCATGTTGCCAGGGCCTTTACTCTTGAAAAATATTTAAAAAAAAATTCTTGGGCTTGAATTCAATTAACAATGTCTCTTACAAAATTGTGGTCATTCATGGTACTCTGTTGGGGAGGAAAATTATGGTTTTGGATCAGTTAATGTTAATGGTGTCACGGTCACGTTAGTTGAAAGGGTTAAGTATTAGAGATAATACAGGGTATTAACATGCATAAAAGAATATGTAAAGAAAAAGATATAAAACTTTGGTTAGAAATTTATAGCTAATAACAAGTAATTAATCTTAAACAGCATCAGGACATTAAAACTACAATGCTATTCTGGCCATTGCTGGGACTCTAACCAAGTCTAATGTGTGCTGGTCTAAATATGGCAATGTGCTTATCTAATTTCATCCTAAATGTCATATTTATTACAAAGTAATCAGTGTTTAAGTGTCTTGAAATAAAATTTGAATCTGTGTTAAATAGAATCTGCAAATGAGATTTTTGTAATTTGTTTATATGTCACAATACATGTACTATAATAGGTAAAAGGTCTTTTATTCCTATCATAGTTCCTGCTGTGAAAATTATAAATATGCCCTATCTGCATGTTAAAATATTCTTTGTTTCAGTATATGCTATCTTTTATGCTATTCACTTGTCAAACTCAGAATCTGTGTTGATTATAAACTTGATAGCAGTTCTACCTGTCATGTATTGTCAGCTATAACATGTATAAAGTGTTGACCTAGGTCTCTCTTCCTTATAAGAACCTTTCCTGAGATGAATAAAAAATGTCATATACACTAATTATACATGATATACATATAAACACCATTAATTGTAATGGACTTTTGTATCACTTTTGTTAACATAAATCATTCAAATTATACAAATTATCATGTGGAACATTTTTTTTGTCTCTTTGCATATGTTGAGTTAGAATATGTTTAGATGAGTCATGTTTAAAAAATTAAGTATGTTAAATATAGCAGTGAAGTTTATGGTTTTTAGCAAACAGAATTCATTTGTTTAAAAAATTAAATCACTTTTTATTCGTTAAATATAGCAGTGAAGTGTATATAGTTTTTAAGGTTATATAGAGAAATATTAACAATTTGTGAAAATTATGTCTGTTATAAAGATTCATGCTTTCGAAAATAAGGTGTCGCGAAAAATTAGTGATCTACAGTATATAGAATACCGGTACTGATGTTAAAAAAAAAGTTTGTAGATGTTGATATTGACTTAGTAGTTTGGTGTTTAATGAATATTCTTTTTGACAAAATAGAAAATGAAATCTGAGAAATGGAGCAAGCTTCCAGTAATATCTACCACCAGTCTGTACCCAGACTTCACAAAGGTGAACTCTTTCTAGGTTATCCTAGCACTTGTTCATGTTCAATTGGGGGAAAAAGTTGTTCATGTTCAGTTTGGGAGAGGGAGGCATTTATTTTTCATTGCACATTGACAAATATACTTCTAAGTTAATAATTGTTCTTTTTTTTATACTAACTAGTTTTACACACATGTTCGCTACTGTTTTAATTTTGATTAATTCTACACAGATCATCAAGTTGTATTTGTTTAGAGATTGGTTATTAAGCATTACTAACTTTCACAGCTGGTTCAGGTTTATATTAAACATTGCAGACATGTTGTATATAGAAGTTCTACACATGGTATGTAAAACCAATGGTTATTATCAGTAAAGCCTTCCTGGGGTCAAATCATGCAGTAATAAGTCTTCACAGATTGAAACTTTCTCTATAAACAAACTATAAGCCAGATTTTGGAAGTATTGAGGTATAGTCAGTGTTATATTGAGTCCCCTAAGACAATATGTCGGTTCAAACTCTAAGGTGCAAGTTTTCATCCACCTGTCACATTGTGTCCAATTTGGCTCCTCTTACCTGCTCAGTGGTATGTGAACAATTTAAACCCCAGTCACATTACCAAAAGCGACCAACTGCCGACGGGTTTTGAAGCAAAAAAGGGATTCTTCGGGTGACAGTCGACAGTTCATCGGCCGTTGTCTTGGCCGATTTTGACCTATTTTTTGGTCGGCCGACCAATTTTGTGTCCATCGGTCCAAGTTATAATTTTTCATGCGTAGGTGGCCGATTTCTTCTGTTATCACATTGTGTCCAATCGGCAGTTTTATTAACTCGGTCGTCCGTCTTGGACAATAAGGGTGTTGACCTGCTTAAAATCAGTGGCTATCGTGAACAGTTACTTTTGAATATCTTGTGAATATTTAACCTATTAAGGATACGTTACAAACAAAATTTTGATTTTCATATAAATTTTTTGAATGATAATTAATCCGAATATAAAGAAATGTGTGTTCTTTGCTGCTTAGATATGACCTTTTGACGTTTTTAGGCAATTCCATACAAATTTTGCACACATTTTCAACACTGAGTCACAATTTTATAAGCTCTGCACTTTGCCTTGCAAACATTATTCACCTTTTATTCTATGTATTGTTTTTTAAAGAAAAAAGATTTTTTGTATTATTTATCATCATGTCCATAGGAGTTAGTAACCATTTTATGATAAAATTTAGACCGACCATCGTTAAATGTGACCTAGGCATTAGAGATCTTTGTTATTATCATGAATCGATGAGTGGAATATGAACTGCAGAGCCAAGTGCAATTATTTTTTTTTTCTGTGTTGAATGTTTTCTACCATCATGTAACCATTTTATGATATATACATGTATTTTGTGTTTTTGTAAGATGGGAATATTTAGTTGTTTCCTATGTTAATCATGGATACATTATTTTTATATGTTTATCAGTAGCATTTATGTATATTTTTACAGCCAGCTAAGCCACCCCACCAGAATACAGTGAGAAACTTAAATCTCAATGGCCATGTGGGCTTTGACAGTCTGCCTGACCAGCTGGTCAACAAGTCAGTGGCCCAGGGCTTCTGCTTCAACATCCTCTGTCTCGGTGAGTGTCAAACAGTTTGATTTTTGAATGTTGTTAACATTATACCTTTTAAATTTATAGTAAAAAATTTAATAGTTGTATCAATTTCAAATACTCAGTAATCATTATATATGTCATAATATGGAAGAAAAAAGATTGAACTATTGAATGTATTCTATGCACGTTATTTAGGAAGAAACAACTTTATTGTAAGGAGTATTTTGAACACCTATGTCCAAGTGTAATCATGATTTAGTACAAATAGAATTTTTAAGTATTCAGGTTTATTTTTGAGCTTGATGTACATGTAACTGAATCCAGAAAAGTTACTGCAAAAAAGAATATTATGATTAGTGCAAATAAAAGTGTTTATAACATTTAGAGTTAGGAACACTGAATAAATCAAAGGGGTGTGCATGGAATATACATGGATTATAATTGCTCTATATGTTATATTTAGGTGAGACAGGCATTGGGAAGTCTACCTTGATGGATACTCTCTTTAACACTCACTTTGACTCAACTCCCAGCACTCATGACCTCCCAGGGGTCAAACTAAAGGCCAGCACCTATGGTAAAATCCTATGTACTCTTACTTTTGTCATATTAAACAAATTCTTTGTTTTGAAATGTGTTTTTAAAAATTTGAAAATAGCTATACATGTAATTTTAATTGGTCTTAAAAATGTTTTAGATATTAACATTTTATCAATGAAAACAAAAATTTTGAATAGATGTTGAAATCTTATTATTTCAGAATTACAAGAGAGCAATGTCAGATTAAAGTTGACAGTTGTTGACAGTGTGGGATTTGGGGACCAAATAAACAAAGAAGACAGGTCAGTTTGTCAATTAGAAGCAGGATAGAAATGTTCTTATTTAGTAAAAATTTCATGGAAACTCATTGTGGGCTATATTGATGTCCAGTTTGATAACTTTTTGTTGAATTTGCAGGTGGAAGCCCATTATGGGCTACATTGATGCCCAGTTTAATAACTATATTTAATTTGCAGTTGGAAACCCATTGTGGACTATATTGATGCCCAGTTTGAAAATTTCCTGAGTGAAGAGTTGAAAATAAAGAGATCCCTCCATAACTACCATGACACTAGGATTCATGCCTGTCTTTACTTTGTAGCTCCCACTGGACACTCGTAAGTCAGGGGTTCAAAGCCTTATTGTATTTTGAACATGTTTTTGTCTCCTGATTTGCAGTGACATTTGAATTTAATCTTATAATGTACACCTTTCAATGTTGTTTGAAAAATTGCTCAGTTGCATAATTTATTTTGTATTTTTTTTTTTTTTTATTGATATTTCAATTCAATTCAAATTGGATGGATATATGTGTAAATTATGCATCATGTTTATTGTTATAACAGATTAAAGGCCCTGGATCTGGTCACCATGAAGAAACTTGACAACAAAGTTAACATTATCCCAACCATAGCTAAAGCTGACACTATCACAAAGGCTGAGTTGCAGAAATTCAAAGCAAAGGCAAGTTCTTCAAATACAAATATTAAAAAAAAACATTTTAGGAGGCAGGAAGCTCTTGGTAGTTGTATAGAATTGTAAGGATCTTTGTAATTTCTGAAGAAAGAGAAGGAAGTTAACAGTATTTGTTCTGTCCTACTTGATTTTTAATTGCTTTGTTTTCCACATACTGGGCATTTCATGATTAAGGGCTGTTAAATGTACAAAGAAAAAGAAAGAAAAATGAAAAGCATGGAAGTATTTTTAAAATATTTCAGGAAATTCCAAACAAAAAGTGGAAAATTGAAACGAACAAAGAAAGGAAAAAAACTTAGGTTTATACAGACACAGGAATTAAAAATTAATTTTAAAATTGATATATTAACTGTCATTTCTTGACAAAGGGTATTTTAGGAATCACTTTAATAAAAAACACACACACACACATGTACATGCAAACATTGAATCATTCTTTTTCTTTAAAATTATTCACAGTTTCAGTAAGTGAAATATATATGCAATGAAGAGTAATTAAGATAAATTTTTTTGTGTTCAGATCATGAATGAGCTGAGTTCTAATGGTGTCCAGATATACAGCTTCCCTGTAGATGATGAGACAGTGGCAGAAGCAAACAAAGTCATGAATGTAAGGGAATAAAGAAAATTTTTACTCTATAATTTACTATGTTAAATGTTTATTCCTGAAATACAAGAGCATAGACAGTCTAAATAGCAATGGTTACGTTTTTCAGGGTCATGTTCCATTTGCTGTGGTAGGAAGCAGTGATGAGGTCAAAATAGGTAACAAGATGGTCAAGGCCAGGCAATATCCATGGGGAACAGTTCAAGGTAATTGTCATTTTTAACTCATGGAAAACTCCAAAGAATGAAAATAATTGGTTCAAGTAGATGTTATATATTGTTTTTTAGCTCACCTGAGCCGAAGGCTCAAGTGAGCTTTTCTGATCACATTTTGTCCGTCGTCCGTCCGTCTGTCTGTCCGTCCGTCTGTCTGTCCGTCTGTCCGAAAATTTCACATTTTCGACTTCTTCTCAAGAACCACTGTTACAATTTTGACCAAACTTGGTACAAAGCATCCTTGGGTTTTAATTTAAATTGTTAAAATGAAGGGACATATCCCCTCGCAAGGGGAGATTATTGATAAAAGGCAAAAATAGGGTTGGGTTTTTAAAAATTCTTCTTTGAACCACTGGGCCAGTAAAGCAAATCTTTATGTGGAAGCATCTTGGGGTAGTGTAGATTCTAAATTTTCAAATCATGACCCCCGGGGGAAGGGCGCCACAATTGGGAATCAAAGTTTTATACAGAAATATATAGGAAAAATCTTTGATTAATCTTCTTCTTGAGAACCACTGGGCCAAAACCAGCTGTGACTTATGTGGAAGCTGGTATAGTGTAGATTTAAATTGTTCACATAACATGGAGGACATGAGAGAAACCACACACAGGGAATCAAATTTTTACATAGAAATATATAGGAAAAATCTTTGAAAATCTTCTTCTCAAGAACCACTGGGCCAAAAGGTTAGCAAGGATATAAAAATTTTTGATTAAAGTATAGAAACAGATATGGGTTCATTATTGAGTGTAATATATTTGGGGAATCAAAGTTTTAAAGAAATATATAGGAAAAATCTTTGAAAATCTTCTTTTTGGAACCACTGGGCCAGAAAGAGGAAAGTCTTTGTGGAATGATTGTGTATAGTGTATTTTCAGTTGTTCAAATAATGACTCCTGGGGGAAGAGACAGCAACACTTGGGTATCAAAGTTTTACATAGGAATATATAGGAAAAATCTTTGAAAATCTGTCTTCTCAAAGAGACCACTGGGCCAGAAAAGCTGAAACTTATGTGAAAGCATTCTGTATTGTATATTTATAAAAATCTCCCCGTCAATGAAGGGCAACACCCTATTTTAGGTGAAAATTTTAGTACAGGATATATATATGTAAAAAAAAGTTCTTCATCTTTAACTTTGGGCCAAAAAAGCTTTTTTTACGAAACATATGGTGAAGGATTTAGTGTAGATTTCAAAATGTCTTAATTATGATTTTTAGCATTCTATAACAGAAATCAAATAACAGAATTTTGTAAAATTTTTGAGCGATATTTTGGTTTTTAAGGTTTTGATTTTGTTTATCAGAGTTATCCAACTTTGCTAAAAAATAAGTGATGAAAAAATTTCAGAACTTTTTCCAAGATTGATTCTATGTTAAAGGATGGTTTAAACTTTCAAAATTACCAAAAGCAAATGCATTTCATTGCTAATGCTGAAAATTCTTCATGGAAATAGTTTCATAAGGAGAGGTGTATATTTATGGCAATGCAAATATAAGCTATATAACTACATGTTAAGTTTATCTTTCAAAAGCATGAATGAAGTAATTTACTTTTCATTTGAGAATGAAAACCACTGTGACTTTGTAAAGCTGAGGGAGATGTTGATCCGAACTAATATGGAGGACATGAGAGAAACCACACACAGCAAACACTAAAAATGCTTCCGCAAGAATATATATTGCAGGAAATGGGACATTCTCATAAACCTAATCCAAAAGGTTGGCAAGGATATTAAAATTTCATATTAAAGCATGGATACAAGTATGGGTTCATTATTAAATGTACATGTATTTCAGGGTTGGAATAGCAACAAACTTCTAATTATAATGTTGTGCTATACTTTACTTACATCTGTTTTGGGATAAGTGTGTTTTTACCAAAAAATCAACTTTCGGTAATGGACTGTCCTTTATTTATAGTTTATCAATAACTGATTTGACAAAGACAAAGATGTCCTAACACTTGTTTACATAGGAATCCCGGATATATAATTTTGTCATCACCCTAAAAATAAAGAAACAGAGAAAGAGGTCTGTATTGTATATTTAATTAAAAGAAATGGAGAAAGGGGCCTTTATCGTATTTTGAACTTAAAGAAATAGTGAATTAGGCATGTATTTATTTTAAAACAAAGAAAATGAAAGGAGAATACTCAAAGCAGAGCATATATTTATATGTTGCTGCTTTATAAATCTTATTTAATTTTTTTTTTTTTTTTTTGGTAAAATTTTTGAGTCTAATGCAAAATTATTATTTTTGAAAGGTAGATTAATTTTGAATAAGTTTTATTTTATTGGTTTTATGTTTTGCAGTTACATGACAGATTTGATGCATTGAAGAAAAAACACGCTGATGAGAAAAAGAAAATTGAGGACAACAAAACGCGTTATGAGAGTGAAATGGCAGCATTTCAGCAGCGTAAAGCTCAGCACCAAGCTCAGATGTCGACGCTCGGCAAGAAGGGGAAGAAATGAAACTCATACTACATGCCTAAACCATCCTCAGTGTTGTGCAGTTCTGCATCAATTTAAATTTTCTCCACTTAAAAGCAGTTTCTTTTGTTTATTTTTGAATCTCCATCTTGATTTTATTTATTCCTCATTTTCCCTTCAGAAGGGACCAATTATGTTTAAGGTAATTGCACCAGTATTAATAGGTAAAAATTGCCCAATAACATTTCAACAGGGGCCTCCATTTTAATTTTCTACTTTCTCATGATGTTTTTCATTTTACATGGATTGTAAAAAACTGAACAGTATACCATATTTCTTGATCAAATCAAGAGTTATGAAATAAACTTTTTAATTTAAATGCACAAATAAATCATACAAAATTATGTTATTGATTTGAAATTGCCTAGAAATTGACTAGAGATTGATTGAATAGCCTTTATGTTTCATGTTGTTGGTTGTACTTAGTAAGTGTATTTACTAGAGTTTATGTAACTATAGTGTTCAGTAAAAATGCATGTTTCATTTCAGCCACTGCCAAATCAATACCAAATATCAATCTCCCGTAACTCATTATATGAATATCACATGTATTTATGGATATGTAATGACAGTTTTTGTTATTTGTATACTTTTATATGCTTGCCTTAATGCCTGTATTGGAGTAACTGACTACTTAATTTTCATCATTGTTTTCTAATTAAGTGCTCTTATTTTACGCCTTCTTTTATTGATAATTTTTTCTAGTATTGAGTTACCACTTTGTTTTTTGCACAGAAATATGAATTGAATCAAATAGAAATCCTTCAAAAATTGTCTAGTCAGCAAGATTGGGAATAAATGATGAAAGAAAAACTAGCTTTTGTTTCTTAATTGTTTATATTTGTACGAATGTTGTCCATAAAGTTCGTGGACAAGCTAAAAATTTAATAAAAGTTGTGTCATTGATATTCATTATTGGCATATTTCTAATCCTTTACTAGATGTGAATTGAAAATTGTAAGATTTCATTCAATTTCAATTTTTTAATTACAATAATGGTTTCACAATTAGACTTGGTATGGAGACCCGGAGCAGCGCAAAATTTTAATTAAAAATATTATTTATCATCTTATGAATTTCATTTGTATTTTATAAAATTTTAGGAAAATCGGAGAGAATTTTACATTATGAGGTTGACGGAAGTTATCACGTCAAACCTGCAAAATTTGAACGTTCAAAGTTTTAAAACGGCTGAGCAATCAAAGTTAGAACATATCAAGACAGTATCGGAATTGTTCAAAAAAGATACGTTTTCGGAATAGGTGGAGCAGTGAACAGTTATAAAATTCTGCGTAGACATCGGAAAAACGCCTACAAAGACCAATGCATTCTGTAAACAATAGGGTAAACATAGTAAAAGAAGTTGTTCACTAGTATTTAAGTGGCATATAATATTTTCGGACGGAATGAACAGGATGACATGCGTGAAGGAAAACCATCATTCCGATATTGCAATGCTGTAAAAAATGAATTTCGTAACGTGATCATGACTTTGCCGTATTTCCGTAAATAAAATCGTCTTTACACGAACAGAGGTTGGATGATTGCGGGATATGAGATAGACATTGTTAAATATTATTTAAAGAATGAAACCTGAACATTTTTTGCACATTTTTATGACTGGTTAAAACGACATAAGAAATGTATTGAGTTAAACGGTGACAATGTTGAAAAAAGTTACGTATTTTTAAGTTGCCGTATTTAGCTTTTGACGTCGGGTAACGACAAGAGTTTTCGTTTTAGTGCTCCGGGTATGAGTATGTGTCTTTTTTGTATCTGATAAAAAAAAAACTATTTGTGCTGTGTTTTTGTTGAAAACTTGGATATTTATAAAATGAAACATGAACTTAATGAAAATAATAGTTTCATATATTTTGTCAATGTTTGTCAGTAATTATCAATGTTGTCCACGAACTTTACGGACAACCCTCGTACAGTAAAATTTTTCACCTAACTCAGCAAAATAGCCTTAGGAAGATTGACCATCTCTTTATTGAACTCATCGTCGCAAATCACGGCCATACTGTACGATCCTCTCCCATTCTGGAGAGAGCTATATGCGGACTCCGGACCGTGGCTTGAGACGATGCATTGAACTTGACTGTTTCTGTATATATGAACATTTTCTACAAAAGGGGGAGTAGAGTTTGTCAAGTTCCATTTCAAGCTTAAGTTAGCAGTCCAAAATACAAAATGTTGTGTTGAAGTAGATACAGGCATGAAAAAAAGCTGGCAATTGCTGCGTAAATGCTAAGTACATGTACATGTATTACATAAAAGAAACTATAGATATAGTTTTAAAAAATACCCCCATAGCAGTAAGCTATATTCAATATACTAAAACAAAGAGTTGAGAATCTTCATTTTATTTTGTCCATAGTAATCCAACCACAACGTATCTCTAAAATTGTTGTATCTTTTGCAGTGAGTCAACCATTTTAGCCCCACTCCCCCAAAACTTTTGTGGACTATAGTTTTGTAGAAAAAAAGGTTTGCATCTCCTAAATAGAGATTGGGTAAATTTTTATTCTGGTCTGTCTGTCTGTAATGTAAATGTGCAAGAAGTTGTGGTGTTTTCTTTCTCACCTTTAAGGCTGATTGACGATGGTTATCAGTTTTAGCCTATACGAAAGCCTATTTTGAGGAACTCGTAGCATATTACCCAGAAGCCATGCAAATCATGTTCTCGAATGTGATTGATAGTGGTTCGTGGACTCAAGGGCCAAATTGATGGTGGGTTTAGGTTGAAAAACAAATACGGTACCTGGCTTCAACTGAAGCATTTATTCTCGTTAAAAGTTTCACTGTTTATATTTTTTCATTTTTTTTTTTCATCTGGGAGTCGAATTTAAGGGTTGAAAAAAGGATGTTTTTCTTGCAAAAAAAGTGCCAGCCACTCCTATTTCAACTCGCACAGTAACCATTTTATTTTTTGTAAATGTTTAGTCGTGTCCTATTGAAGTGCAATGTCATGGGGTTTCAATTTTTTCTCTTTTTTCCCCCAAAAAATTTCTTGATTGAAAAGGGAATTAATATTTCATGAGATTAAGTTCACATGAGCTTTTCAGATACTAGTAACTTGTTGTCCGTCAGCCTGTAAACTTTTCACATTTTTAACTTCTTCCCAAGAACCAATGGGCCAATTTAAACCAAAGCTGGTACAAAGCACTCTTGGAGGAAGGGAAATTTTAATTCTTTACAAATCTTCTCCTCATGAACAAAACGGCCAGAAATGGTAATTAAATGGAAGCATTCTGGTGTAAGGTAGATTAAAAATTGTTCGAATCACAACCTCCAAGGCCACAATTAGGAATCCAATTTGACTTTGAAATATATAGTTAAAAATCTTCTCAAAATCAACTGGGGAAGCATCCTGGAGTAGTGTAGATTCTAAACTGTTCAAATCATAATCCCCTGTGGTAGGGTGGAACCACAATACATGTAGGTATTACAAGACATGATTTGTTGAAGAACAAGCAGGACCAAGTGAATCAGGCAAGCGTTGTGGCCCATGGGCCTCTTGATTACCTCTTCTTACTCGAAGGCTCATTGAACCAATGCTATGGACAATTGTACATTGATTGTTAACTGTTTAGCATTTGGATCAATTTGAGAATCTCTTGGCCATTTTTGTCAATTTTTTCACAGGGTATTCTTGGCCCAAAGACTTCCGTTTAGTGGTATACTGAAACTAGGAATGTGAGTACTAAAAAGTCTTCTTCTCAAGAACCATTGGACAGATCATAACCACACTTACAAAGTTTGAAGGATGAGGATAATTAAGTTAAAGATGAGAACTGTTCAAAGAATCGCCCTGGGGCAAAGGGCATGGACTCAAGATCACTTGACCAAAAATTACACTTTATAAAATGTTGATTTTTTAGCTTACTATAAGGACTAAGATCATCAAATCTTGTCAGTTGAAACATTTTAAGATTTTGACTCAAAAGTAGATCACTGATCTATTATTTGAGCTCCTTGGGGATCCGGGTTAGAATAGGTCCTCAGTACCCCCTTGCTTGTCGTAAAAGGCGACTAAATGGTGCGGTCCTTCGGATGAGACCGTATAAACCGAGGCCCCGTGTTACAGCAAGTGTGGCACGATAAAGATCCCTCCCTGCTCAAAGGCCGTAAGTGCCGAGCATAGGCCTAAATTTGCAGCCCTTCACCGGAACCTGT